GCCATGCAGGTCTCCTGCAGACCTGTCAGTATATCTGCTTGCCCATACTCCATGTACGGGCAAGCAGATATACTGACAGGAAGATTCAATGAGCTACCATTGCGCTACATGAGAACTACAGCCGCTAAGGCTGATGGGACTTGTGGATCATTCATTCACAAAACACTGTGAATGAATGACGCGGCCATGTGGGTGGAGCCCCGCACAGCCGCTCTGTTTTTTTAAAAAGTGACAGTACGGGGAACCTCTCCCTGTACTTCTGTCACAGGGGAGGGGAGTGGGGGGGGGGGGGGGGGGGGCAGCAACTGCAGCATTGGGAACATGTTACATATTTCCTCCTCAAAATGGGTGGAACACGTAACATGTTCACAAAGGTGAACTTATCCTTTAACAGAGATAATTTACAGGGATTTCCAAATGCTTTAAGACACTTGGAGAAACCATGTAACCCAAAACCAATAATTCAATGACAAGTTTAAAAGCCCCCTCATTTTTCTGTATCCTAGTAGTGTGAGCGACAACATCTCCCTGTTTCAGTTATAGGGCTTACCCAAATTGGGGCACCTTTTTGAGTTCAACAAGGGTGTCGCACTCTTGCTACTCAATTTTCCAGGCTATAAAATAGAAGCATAAGGAATCATGACAAATATTGTCATTCCCTTAGTTGGGGATTGGAAATCTCATCACCAAAGTCAATTGATTAAAAAAAAAAAAACATTTAGTGAAATCTGAAATGTTAGATTTTGGTAGACCTGCCCATTGTATAAATGGTGGGTATCAAAAGAAAAGTGTATTCTTATGGCGGAAGCTATATCTCAGCCAAGGAAGATCCAAGTCCTCCAACAGCTGTGGATTTGGTCAGAAGCCAACAGAAGGAGCCTTCACAAAAAGCAGTTTTCCATTTTCTTGATGCAAGGAGAAAAGTCTGTTTTAAGAAAGTGGTTTGTGATTGAATTATATCTTCTGTAATCAATTGAACCAAACCAAGTACATTCAAACAGCAGCAAATCGTTAGGATTGTGTCCATCATGGGGATCCATTTTTCTTGAGGAATACTCATACTCTGTTCACTTGGTCAGCCCATCAGCCTGTCTTCATTGCTTTTGTCACAGAAAAGTTTAAAGAAACATCATTAAAATTGAGTGCCAAAAAAAAAGTCAACGTTTCACTTATCAACCAATCAGGTTTTAGTTGACAGTTTCATGTCAGAAACATTTTAGTGACAGCTAGGGTCTAATTAGTTGTGGTCAAAAATTACACTTTTTGTTTATCTAGAGAGTACCTTTGTGTATCTTACCATTTAAGATGTTCCCTAGCTAACCATCTGGGTAGATAAGCTATTTTATTTCAGGTATAAATCAAAATCTGCCATTTGCACCATTTTTTGGCAGTTTTGGGGCCCTAAAATTTGAAGTTTTTAACTTCCTGTGACAGTCTACCCCTGAATCACACCATGTCACCACACGTCCTTTCTTAATTCCCACGTCTTTTATGTTGTCTCCATGTTCTGTTCATGTCCACGCTGCTTTCAATGTAAGGGAGTCTGAATGGCTTCAGATTTGAAGGTCATCATTTGAACAAAAAAATTATAGGAGCACATTCATTACAATGCTTTTGATATTGTACTTAATTTATGTGCATTTTTGCCATGCATTATTTGCCCTGTTCTAGTAGGCTTTTTGTTTTTAGGTATTATCAGGACAGAGTTCAAAGTCCAAATGCTTTAGAGCTTTTGGACTTGAATAGCAGGTTGCGTTTTTTACGTCGTTTGCTTGCTCTTAGGTTTTTCTGCCTGCACTACTATCTCTAAAGTCAAACTTTTTTTTAAGTTTTGGAAAGATTTAGGAGGGATGAGAATCTCGATCTGTATTCCTGCTTCATTCTTTCTAATTGTTATAATAATGATTGACATCAGGACTGAAAATGATAGCAAATCCAAAATTTCAAGTTGTCACCGTAACAGGAACATCTTCCAATATGGAGACGTGTTCCGGTGATGACTGTGTAAGAGGGAATATTTCTAAGTTTCAAGATATTACCTCTCACTTCTGTTGTGTCTACAGGATAGGAAGTGCAGGGAATCTCCCCAAAGAGACAGATGGGGGGAAAATTCCTCAAACGGGTTATACCACCTTGTACCCTATCCAAAATTAGAGGAAAAAGTTTTGCCTTTAATTCTACTTTAAGCTTCAGCTTCCATTAAAACAAAACTTTTTTAGCCATTAAATCTGGATACATGTACAAGTGGTGTTTAAACCCTAGTGATCAAAAAATAGAAGCATGCACATTTGCGCTGTAACTGAAATCTGTCACTAAACACATTTTTCACATACACTATATTGCCAAATGTATTGGGCCAGCCCTCCAAATCATGTGATTCAGATGTTCCAGTCACCTCCATGGCCACAGATGTATAAAATCAAGCCCCTAGGCATGCAGACTGCTTCTACAACATTTGTGAAAGAATGGGCCGCTCTCAGGAGCTCAGTGAATTCAAGCGTGGTCCCGTGATAGGTTGCCACCTGTGCAATAAGTCCATCGGTGACTGGGTCAGTGTATGCTGAAGTGCACAGAAGTCGCCAACTGTCTGCAGAGTCAGTAGCTAAAGACCTCCAAACTTTGTGTTGCCTTCAGATTATCACAACAACAGTACGTAGAGAGTTTCATAGAATGGGTTTCCATGACCGAGCAGCTGCATCCAAGCCTTACATCACCAAGTGCAGTGCAAAGCGTTGGATGCAGTGGTGTAAAGCACATCACCACTGGACTCTAGAGTAACGAATCATGCTTCTCTGTCTGGCAATCCGATGGACGTGTCTGGGTTTGGTGGTTGTCAGGAGAACGGTACTTGCCTGACTGCACTGTGCCAAGTGTAAAGTTTGGTGGAGGGGGGATTTATGGTGTGGGGTTTTTTTTCAGGGGTTGGGCTTGGCCCCTTAGTTCCAGTGAAGAGAACTCTTAAGGTGTCAGCATACCAAGACATTTTGCACAATTTCATGCTCCCAAATTTGTGGGAACAGTTTGGGGATGGCCCCTTCCTGTTCCAACATGACTGCGCACCAGTGCACAAAGCAAGGTCCATAAAGACATGGGTGAGCAGTTTGGGGTGGAGGAACTTGACTGGCCTGCACAGAGTCCTGACTTCAACCCAATAGAACACCTTTGGGATGAATTAGGAGACTGCAAGCCAGGCCTTCTTGTCCGACATCAGTGCCTGACCTCACAAATGTGCTTCTAGAACAGCAATGGGCAAAATCCGGCCCGCGGAGCTAGGCTCCCGCTAGGCTCCTCTCAGAGTCCGCCCTGAAGACGGTGTAGCATGAAAATCTGTCTCCTATGAGGATCTGTCCCCCTCGACGTATCTGCGCATGTGCCGGAGATCGCCGATCGGCTGCTAATGCCTGAAACTGGCACATGCGCAGATACGTCGAGGGGGACAGATCCTCATAGGAGACAGATTTTCATGCTACACCAGAACGGCGCGGGAACACGGCGAGAGGGACGCGCGGAGCAAAGGTAAGTGAATTGACACAGGGGGGACTTGGGGACTTAATATGGGGGATGAATTACTATATGGGGGATGAATTACTATATGGGGGATGAATTACTATATGGGGGATGAATTACTATATGGGGGATGAATTACTATATGGGGGATTAATTACTATGGGGGATGAATTACTATATGGGGGGATGAATTACTATGGGGGATGAATTACTATATGGGGGATGAATTACTATATGGGGGAATGAATTACTATGGGGGATGAATTACTATATGGGGGATGAATTACTATAGGGGGGATGAATTACTATAGGGGGGATGAATTACTATAGGGGGGATGAATTACTATATGGGGGGATGAATTACTATACGGGGGATGAATTACTATACGGGGGATGAATTACTATGGGGGATGAATTACTATATGGGGGATGAATTACTATATGGGGGATGAATATTACTATATGGGGGATTAATTACTATGGGGGAATATTACTATACTTACTATGGATGACACATACACGTCATTCATCTACTCTTGGTCCGGGTCCAATATATGAACCCATTGCGGCCCTCAAGTCAAAAAGTTTGCCCACCCCTGTTCTAGAAGAATGGTCAAATCTTCCCATAGACACCCTCCTAAACCTTGTGGACAGCCTTCCCAGAAGAGTTGAAGCTGTTATAGCTGCAAAGGGTGAGCCAACTCAATATTGAACCCTACGGACCAAGACTGGGATGCCATTAAAGTTTGTGTGTGTGTGTGTGTAAAGGCAGGAGTCCCAATACTTTTGGCAATATAGGGTATGTTCAATGCACATGTATGCATTATATTGGAGCTGCCATAGCAATGGACCAAAATTATTTTGGGCTTTCATTCCTCACAACAGAAGTTGATTGATTATCCTGGGTCACACAACTGGGTTTCCTTTTATACTCTTTTATTGAGCACCCTAGATAAAACATTTCAAACAAAGCATGAAGAAAAAATATTTTTTTTGGTCTGTGTCCAAATAATGAACTGCCCCAGGCAGCAACCCTTGCAATGGGTCGTGCACTGGAGAGTGAATGTTGCCTCCTAATTGGTTATGGGGCAGCAATGACTGTTGGAGTTTCTTTTTCCAGGTGCTCTTATATGTTGTATGAGGTTTTACCTAGAATATCCATTTAATTTGTACTCAATTGGATACAGTAGACCCTTCCATTACCTAATGGTAAGTGAATCTAAAGTAGACTGGGCAATCCAAGCGTAACCTGACTTTCCAAGCTAAAGGTGTAAGGAGTCTCAAATCAGTCGTTGCTTTGATTGAAAGAGAATGTTCTAACCCATTTCTCATCTGAAGCCATTAAAAATATCTCTCCGCACTCTCTCTATCAAGTACCTCTCCTTCCTTCAGACTTCCTTTCTTCCACAATTTTGTTTTTATTTTTTTATGATTATTATTTTTTTTTCCCATGGTTTATTTTTTCTCCTTCCCCCCTTCCCCTCCTTCCATAGTGCGGCCGAAATGCTGAGAACTTCGACCGGTTTTTCACCCGCCATCCACCAGTGCTAACGCCACCTGACCAGGAGGTCATCAGGAACCTCGACCAATCAGAATTTGAAGGATTTTCCTTCATTAATGTTGAGTTTGAGCAACTGGAGATGAAAGACTGATGAAAATGACTCCCTGTGTTTCCCGGGTACCCACAGCTCTCGGCTGTCCCACTGTAATCTTCCCTAGGGTGGCCTGGCCACACTGCTCACCCCACCAACCCTTTTACTTTGCGTTATTATAGCAGCCATCTTGCTGAGTACTGTATGTCTGATCCTGCGTGTGTGACTAGGCCTCGCTGTGTACAGAAGGCCTGTTGTCTGTGTCTTGTTATTTGTCAGTAAGCCAAAAGACAGAGGCCTCCATGGTGGAGTCTTTGAAGGTACAGCTTTTCTTGTTACCCTTAGCAACTTAGCACATTAGTCTAATTCATTCTCCCATGCTGCAATAGAAACATATAAGGGTATCCAGAAAAGTTTTTCCTTCACGCACATTTCATCTTGAGGCCTAAAACGTGCGTTAATCTCTTGGATGCATTGACTAAGTTGAACATGAAGACTTGTGGCTAACGATGTAAGCCGAATTCCCCTGGCACAAGAGGACTGTGAATTTTTTTGGACAAGAAAGTTACCTACTATTTGTTTATCAATGTTGTAGCATTTGTTTTCTTGTCAAGTCCAAACGATACCAACAAATATGGGTTTTACTCCTAATCTGAAACTTGTGATTTTATTGAACATTCCTAGAAAGTGAACATAATAGCAGATATGACTTTGCGGTCATTATTGAATAGACCTGTGCCCTAAGCATTTCATTGCTGGTGGGCTTAAAAAGTACCTGTGACCAAGATATAGGCACTCAAATACATATACTGCATATTCATACGTTTTAATGAAGCCCTCATTGACCTCTGTAGCTGCAGGCAATGTGGTTCAATACATTCTCAAAGTTCACAGCAGAATTTCTACAGTTATTTAAAGAGGAGCTCCAGTCATTTTTTTTGAAAATTAAGTCAGCAGCTACAAAAATTGTAGCTGCTGACTTTTAATATACAGACATTCACCTGTCCCAGGATCCAGCGCTGTGCTCACCCGAGCCGGTTTTTCCATTGGTCTTATTCCCCCGGTCACATCAAAGTCGATTTTGAAATCGTGTGATTTACAGTGAAGTCTCGTGATTTGAAAATCGGGTGACCTGCCGATTTCATTGCGATTTGAAAGACATCTGACACAGATGTCTATGCAAATCAGAACAAAAGTAGTACATGTACTACTTTAGAAATTGGTGCAGCTCTGACCAAGTCGTAACCGCACCGATATGACCGCTCTAGTTGCGGGCAATAGGGTGCGACTTGGCATACGATTTTCAAGTCGTCTGTCATGCAAATTGCATGCCAAGTCGCACCGATGTGACCGGAGGCTTAGCCCCCGAAGCTGGCAACTTAAGTGTGGGCACCTGGCTGTGAAGGCTTGTTGCACATTGTGAATGGTCCCGCAGTCTTCTGGGACCTGTGACACATTCCAGAAGACTGCTGGGTTGGAAAACAGATGGTGAACTTCCGCTTGGAACGCCTAGATACCTGCCCCCCATGTGAAAGAGGAGCAGGGAGGAGGCTTTAAAGTGGAACTATACCTTTCGGGTGAAGTTCCACTTTAAGTAGTTCTGTCCCTCCCACCCCAGCAGTAACTCAGCAGCCTTCCTATCTTAACACAGGGAAAGTTCTCTAGGGTAGGGGGTACAGGGTGAGCTAAGCTACTGAGTTACTACTGCAAGGGGGAGCAGAAGCAGCTGAGCTGCAGAGTCATTTAAGGGGGGGTGGGGGAGAGTAGGGTAGCTGAACTACCCGGAAAAGGCCTGGAGGACTTCAGTGCTTCTGTTGTAAACTTTGGTGGTGATTCACTCCACAGTACTTGTACTTACAGACGTTAGTGAGGCTTATGTAAAGCACATTTACTGGCTTATATGGCTTTAATGCTGATCTACTTTGGCTTTAGTATGGGAAGATTCACTAAATCTGAAGATTGCAAAATCTGGTGCAGCTCTGCATTTTAACCGGTCAGCTTCCAGGTTTTATTTCCAAAGCTTAACCGAACAAGCTGAAGTTGGAAGCTGATTGGCTCCCATGCACAGCTGTACAAGATTCTGAGTGCTCCAGTTTTGAGGAAATCTCCATAGTCATTCAGATCAAATACACATAAGAGGAGAGCAACATTGACAGCCTTTATTTTACTCTCAGGAATGGTGCCCTTCAAGATGTAGCTCTATTCAAGGGGTCTGATCTCCCCCATCACATAGGGGTCCTGTGAAACTTGTGTATTTGGCCAAGCTACTTATGTCACCAGCCTATAAGATCTTCATGAGGAGGTGACGGGCACAGAAGTACTCTATCTTGTGTCCTCTAGTGGATTCGCCATAGCAATAAATGGACTGGTGAGAACAGTAGCTCGTCTAATAAAACCAAGCTTGGCTTGTGAAGGGGGGACATCAGACAGTAGTGGAAATGTAGCTGGCCGCTGAACCCTTGCTGTTTTACGAAGACTACACTAAGTGCTGTTAGCATCTTCATGGGGGTTACATTGCAATGTTAACACTCAAAAAAAACTTAAAGGCTTTCATACAAATTGTTCCACATTCCTGTGGTCATCAAACATTTGAATGTGAAAATGTTTAATTCAGTTTACTAAGTGTTGGGCAGATCTGATCCAAGAACAAAAAAATCCAGTGGGGTGGATTTACTAAAGGCAAATAGACTGTATATTTTTCAAGTGCAGGTGCATGTATTTTCCTTAGTTATGCAGGCCATACATGGTTCGAATTTCAAACGATTTTTCATCCGAAAATCGAAATGTTGTTCGTTCTGTAATCCGATGGTGCCACCGATGATTTCGAAAATCGATCGTTTTTCACGAATTTTCCAGCATGCCCGATAAACGAAATGGGGAGGAACCATGAAAATCAGCCCACTAACAGAGCGAAAATCGGCCGATTATTCTTAGGTCCGATTTTCGTACGAAAATCGTTTGGAATTTGAACCATGCATGGCCTGCTTAAATGTAGAGCTTCACTTGGTAAAGGATATCCAATCGGGTGTAAGAAAAAGAAAAAACAGCATTTTTCTTGCACATGATGGGATGATGGAAATCAGCAGAGCTTTACTACATTTACTAAGATGAGTGCAATTGCACTTGCAAAGTGCACAGTCTATTTGCCTTTAGTAAATCAACACCATTTCTTTACACTCTGAGCTGTGTGGTCTATCTGCATGATTCAGCATAGAGAAGATAAGCACAGAAACATAGTTTATAAGGGTGCTAGTCACCAATTTGCATATTTGCAGTTGTTCTGTCTCTTTTCAATTCTGTTGGATCATTTTCAAAGCATAACCCTCCATTTTTTGCCCAGTGTCTCTGTGTATTAGAGGAATGGAATTTCCCAGGTTGCACTGCTCTATTCCTGTCCAGTGTAAGCCACAGCTGTGTTTAATCCCATCGGACTGCCAATTCCCTTCTGATATCAAAAGCTTTTTATTTATTTTTTTTTTGTTTGCTATATGGTTTCTCTGAGTTGCCCAGCTCTTCACGTTCATATTTCCAAAGGGGCCAAAACATATCGATGTCAGAAAATCCAGCAGATGTTTGTGTGTGCTAGACCCCCATCATCATCCTCATCGTCATTTCTGCATGAGTGAAGGAGATAATGCACTAGCACAGCGAGTGCCCCAGGCTCCGCTACAAATTGGCCATTCCGCATGCAGCCTTAGCCAAGCATTAACTCATTACCCTCTTCACATCCTGGCTTTAGAACAGAGGGGAGCCCTCGCTTCTCTGGAAGCTGCTTTGCTGTGCCTTTCACATGGACAGGGAGACACCTGATTGATGTAGGAAAGCCTGTTTTTACTGGGAAGTACCCTTTATATCCGCTTATTCAGCAGAGTAAAGGACAAACACTCATGTAAACCAGTCATCAATCATTTGTTAAAGTAGATCTGTACCCAATCACTAACATTTCCCATAACCTATGTGAATGTGGAGATTTGAGATTATATTAACTAGTGATCCTACAATAAAGTTTCCTCTTCTGGCATTTCCTGTTATGGGGAGAAAAAAGTCTCCCAATTTTGCCCCTGCGTTGTCACCCTGTCTGATGCACCATTGGTGGAGAATTAAAGTGGCCATGCAGTAAAGTATCGCAGGAAAATAGTGGTCATCGTGATTGAGCTTTTCTGTGCCTTTCACATGGACAGGAAGACACCTGATTGGTGTAGGAAAGCCTGTTTTTTACTGGGGAGTATCCTTTATATCCGCTTATTCAGCAGAGTAAAGGGTAAACACTCATGTAGACCAATCAATCATTCCTTTAAAGTAGATCTATACCCAATCACTAACATTTCCCATAACCTATGTGAATGTGGAGATTTGAGATTATATTAACTAGTGATCCTGCAAGAAAGTTTCCTGTTCTGGCACTTCCTGTTATGGGGAGAAAAAAAGTCTCCCAATTTTGCCCCTGCGTTGTCACCCTGTCTGATGCACTATTGGTGGAGAATTAAAGTGGCCATGTTGTAAAGTATCGCAGGAAAATAGTGGTCATCGTGATTGAGCTTCTCTGGAAGCTGCTTTTCTGTGCCTTTCACGTGGACAGGGAGACACCTGATTGGTGTAGGAAAGCCTGTTTTTTTACTGGGGAGTATCCTTTTATGTCCACTTATTCAGCAGAGTAAAGGGCAAACAGTCATGTAGACCAATTAATCATTCCTTAGAGTAGATCTATACCCAATCACTAACATTTCCCATAACCTATGTGAATGTGGAGATTTGAGATTATATTAACTAGTGATCCTGCAATAAAGTTTCCTCTTCTGGCACTTCCTGTTATGGGGGGAAAAAAGTCTCCCAATTTTGCCCCTGCGTTGTCACCCTGTCTTATGCGCACCGTTGGTGGAGAATTAAAGTGGCCATGCAGTAAAGTATCGCAGGAAAATAGTGATCATCGTGATTGAGCTTTTCTGTGCCTTTCACATGGACAGGAAGACACCTGACTGATGTAGGAAAGCCTGTTTTTACTGGGGAGTACCCTTTATATCCGCTTATTCAGCAGAGTAAAGGGCAAACACTCATGTAGA